ACGTTAGGATACAATAATAAACGCGAAGAAGTACTATGATATACGTGTACGCTAGTTTGATCAAGTAGAGCAACACAACAAACTAACAAGTAAAGAAACATTTCCCAGTTAGTGAATTCCACCGAAGGAGAACAAGATCAACACTTTTTCCAATAAATATTTATCAAAGAGAATACGTCAATTTTGATTAATTCAAAAAATTCAAAATCCTTATATAACCATCCAGTAATACTAGTACACTGCATATACAAAACACTGACAATTTTATTTAACTCTGCTCAAGTCACTAGGAATCGTATATATATATATTTATATATATATATATATATACATATTGATGAGGTTTCATCGGTTGACACACGTGTTACGGATACTGGGCTGTCGCCTTCCTTGTAGAACAGTGTTAGCTGGCATAGCATTAGGTGTTAGAGGTGCTCCAATCAAAAAACGGCATTACTTCATGAAGTTTCTGACTATTGGTTTCAGAAATGTAGAGAGTTGCAAATCGCCAGAGTGAGGTCGTCGAGGCGCTAAGAACGAACAGCTGAAGGTTGGCTTAAAATCGTCTCCTATGACGGAAATGCATTCGCTCTTCTAATCTCCTCGATCAATTAAGTCCCTGCGTTTGTACATGTAATTATCTTTTCACATGTAAATTTATACTTGTTATGCTTCTTTTGAATTTTTCTCCTCATTTATCAACCTTTATTTGCTACACGGACTGCTCTACTTCTGCACATAGTTCTACGTTGAATTTCATTCAGTCAGGTTGATTTCTCTCACTTTTGAACCCATGTGTGTGAACACATCAGTTCGATTTCTAAACATTTTCCGACATGATGAAAACCTTTTAACTAAAAAATTGTTATCTAGATGTTTCTGCTGTACAGTTAACAGTTTGTTGCTTTTATTTCACGGACCTACGAATTGTAAATTAGCCACGCCTTTCTTATGTCACAGTTGGGTCTGTTCAGGTTTACACAGGCTGTGAATTAATTTCTCCTAGTTTTGTGAAATCGGCTCATATTTACTTAAGTTTCTTATTACTTGAGTTGAGGAAGATGGTAGCATCTATGCAATCTCCAAAACATGAAATAATAATAATAATATTAAGTAATTTCTGTGTGTACAACACTATCACATCCAAAGAATGAAAAATTGCCATTTCATGTAATTAAGAACAAGTCAACAAAAAAGTCGCTTCTCGTAGCTTTACTTCAAAGTTGTATCTTAACTGTATATATTTACAGTTATTTAGGGTGCATAGATCCCAATGTACATTGAAAACAAAGATCGAAGCTTATTTTCAATTAGTAATAAGGCAAATCAAAGCGGATGAGTAATACCTAAGCCTGGAAAAATTAGGAATAGTCTTATGTAATCAAAAGGGTTGACAAACAATTGGTTGAGTGAAGAACGAATAGTCGTTTGAAAGTGGGTTGATATGGGACAAGAGAACAACAGGTTGAAAATGAATTGCGAAGAACACGCACAAGTTGGACTACATAGAGTTTAATTTAGAGTTATTCAGGAAGACAAAGAAGGAAAAAAAGAAAAAAGTATCATTAAGGCCATGGTGATAAGAGAGACTGGATGAAAAGTTTGTGAACACAAAGTTCAGGTTTCTCCATAAGGATTGCTAAGGTTTAAGCTGCATGAAGATGTAAGCGAAATCCTTCCAAACGGCCATTCTGTTACGTTCGTGTACGATCCCTAGCTAGTTAAGCAATCATCCTAACACTGTCATTTTGGTCCCGTAATACACTTTGTAAGCTGGATATCCAGGAAGGATAATTTATCTTCTGAATTCGCTTCAGTTTTACATTCGACTGGGTGATCTGCGTTGTTAAATTTTCGCAGGATTTTGTTCAGATCAGTATTTTTACTGGTGATGATAAATATATCATCTATGTGCCGCTTAAATATTATTTAGCCAAATGTTCTCACCCCTAAAGTAATCAATGCGACTTCTGTTTAAGCAACAAATACGACAAATTAAAATCAATCTTCAAAATACCCTGGAAATGCAAAGGAGCTCATGAGACTCTGGCCTAACGGTCATCGATCGGCAATATGCTGTAGGATACTCAGTACGCCCAAACTTTCAATGATAACCGAGTTTTGAATAAACAAAGAGCTACTAGAGAGTTTAATTCTTCTCAATTTCACTTCTAGGAAAGATCTGTGCAAGGATCAGGAATTTTCTCGAAAGCCAATCGGTCGGTCTGAATGATCCAGTAACACCAAGTGATTTGCAGATAATCGTGATTACTACAATTTCTTAATTATTTATGCAGGATTTATGTCTTTCAGTTTGGAGAGTTCACAGCAATATTTTATTGGGTATAATAAGTTTATGTCACAACATAACTTATTTATTTCTTAAGTCTTAGCTGTCAAGAGAAGCACAAAACATGCGCTGTTATTACATGATTTCTCAAGGATTGCAGCAATAAGTTGTCGTCATTAACCATATTACTCCCGAAAGCTGCACCGTCGCCTTTGTTCACCCTTCGCCGTCAATTTGTTCTTGAACATGAACGACCTGCTCATTTTTTTCTAGTTTCACGAGCAGTTACATGGAAATGACAAAAATCCAATACAACCGCCGACTTATATAAGCCCTCAGTTGTCAGATTTTAGCGATTCTGCATGGTGCATCAAGGTTGTTTCGAGTGCAGACATTGAGATTCTTCGAGAATTTTCTGTTCTCAATTGTAACTAAAGGGAGAAACCAAAATGTCGCTCCTCTGTAACTTACATCTCTATGTAATAACTTCTTCCTCGGGCGTGAGACTGGCAACCCCACCCTGTGAAACAACACTGCTACAGAAACTTCAGTACGATGAAAAGAAGTATGTGTGCGGGCACTCAACGTCCGCACTATGCATGAGACTGGCAAAACTGTCGATATCGCAAATGATGAGAAATGAGATATGGTATTGAAGTACTAGGAATATGTGAAAGCAGATGGAATAGGAGTGGACTCACATAAATGTCAACGGAAGAGTCGATGGTCAACTCCGTCCACCCAGAAGATAACCATGAACACACTGAGGGTGTGGCTATCATGATGTCACCAACGGGAACGAAGGACCTCACACAATGGCAGGCGATCTCGCCCAGGATAATGACCGCCAGAATAAACTCGTAAGGAAGGAGAATGAAAATTATCCATGTGAAGAGGAGGTGAAAGCATGTGAGCAGACGTGGAGCTAGGTGAAAACTTTGGCGGAGAACCGAAAGCAATGGAGACATGCGGCTGAAGCCCTATGTTCCTCTAGGAATTAAAGGAAACAATAATAATTACTGTAACTACATTACTAGCCACTTGTAAGTCTGGAAGATGTGCATGCAGTTCCCACTCCTCCCGCCCCCGCCCCCCACAAACAAAACTACAGCATCACTACTGAAACTTCAAGGAAGGCAATAAAACTTATGCTACACTAAGATCTGAAAGACAACACATGGAGGACGCATGGTTCAGATAGGTGAAGACATGGAACTACCAGTGAACACACCACCTCCGAAATGGTTTCGGAAAGCACTGAGAAGTCATATGTATCCTAACACAGTCTCACCGACTCCGTCAAAGCACGTATTCCAGAACTGCAAGGCAACATTTCACAAAGGTCTCCGGCATTCCAAGATTTGCTGCCTAGTGAAATTCAGAGGTTTACAGAATACGTCAATACAGTCACTGAAAAACGGTCACAGTCTACTATATCCCAACTCGCGAAAAGCTTCAAATCTATCAAAATCAAATCAAAAAGTTTCCTGATGATCCTACAAAATTTGTATTTAACTACTCCCCAGTTGTTTTATCCGAATTGCAGTTAACCCTATCCATGGGTTCAAAATTTTCTGACATCAACCTAAATGCCAACGGACTTCATACTCATGTACACTTTGAAAACCTAACTACCCAAACAAACGATTTAACTCCGACCTCTCAACAGGAACTACAGCCATTCAAATCAACAATAATCGATTATTGACATCAATATCTGAATACAAAAACACAGGTCTACAACCACCTAACAAAGCAGCACAGAGAAGAATTAAGTCAACTGAGATACAATAACGAACTTCCAATAATCCGTCCAAATAAAGGAGCTGGCGCAGTCCTAATAGACAGAAAAGACTACATAGAGAAAATGAATAACATACTCTCAGATAAAACTAAATTCTTGCAACCACCCAACGGAAAAAATAAAACAGAACAGACTGAAAAACAAGTCCTTCAAATATATTGACATCTATGAAACATACTAAGTATAATGTGGACTAATTGATTGTAGGTTGAGTCTTTCAGTTTTTCACATTTAGAATATGTTAGATAAATTTTATTTTTAAAGAGGATCTTTTCGGAGATGAGTGTAAGTTGAATTCGCGAGATTGTCATAGACAAAGTGTACTGAGATATACTTTTATTTGGGTGCCATAAATGATGCGCATGGTGCGTAATTAGGAAGATTCCTTCCAGGGAGATAACAATCCTAAAGACCATTGAAGAGATGGCTACGCTTAACAATAGGAAATCCTGTGTTGCTTCCTGACTAACTACTTATTATTCGATTAGTATTTGTTGGTTAATTTACCTAGACCGACTAGTTGCAACGAGATAAGGAAGTAGCGGGAGAAAATGAGAGACATGATGACAGACCATTTTCAAGGAGTAACGCACTGAAGTTCGGCAAACCGACTTACTGACAGCTGACCCGAGCTTTAACAAGTCGTTCAATGAGGTCATTTCAAATCTGCAGAGTAAAATAATTCGAAACTAGAGTAATTGACACATCTACTTTTGCAGCCATTGACTACAAATGTTGGTACTGGTTGCTTTCTATCAATCTATATTACATCAGAAGCATTTGTTAATTCAATGCACAATTGTCACTGGTAAACTCGCCGGTGAATCGGTCAGAATATGAATAATTACGTAGACAACTCTTGACCGACCTTCAGCTAGTATACGGTATAACAAGAATACAAAGAATCTCAGTCAATTTTTGTATTCAAAGCATAAATCTATTTATATTCCACAGAAGGATGTCAATGAGCCTTTGACTTCTTTTTGATCTTGGGTACGCGTAGCTGGAAAAAAAGTGCAAACAGAGAGTAAAAATTGCATTAGAATAGACGAATTCAATGTGAATTAGGACAGATAAGAAGGCTTACAATGAAAGCATTTCAGTGTTTTTTGCATTTAGATATTACACCACATACGTCATTTGTTGTTGATCGTGGCAACTTGAAATGCTGCACTATCGTGTGAATTTCTACTTTAAGAATTCATTTGATCAAGTATAAATGGATAACACATACTTCATTGCATTAGCACAGTACAATACTGACAAATAGATTGTAGATTATTTTTAAATTCTACGTAACGTCATCTTATATTCGATGTTTTACAACTGTTTGGGGCACATAAATAAGCTGGAATATACTTCAAAAACGCTTTAGTTTGTTCAGCCTATCACAAAATCCTCCTGAGATTACAAGGAAATAAAGAAATCGTATAAAAAGCCTAACGTGAAATTCAGGAGGACTGGAAGCAAATGATGTTATTACATAGAAAGTTTCTATGTAAAACACTTAGGAATCTGCAAAGATTTTCTTATGCTTGGGAAATTTACTGGAACCAGTGGTTAGATGCTTCTGGACTTCTAAATTCTCACAGTTATTTCATTTACATAAAATTTTATAGGCAAACTAAATATTCAGCCTATCAAGAGAAATATTTCACAAAACTCACCATTTGCGGTTTAATTTTCTTCCCACAGTTCTTTTTCGCATGGTTCATAGTTTGCTTATTATTATAGCTCCATGTACGTTTACCTGCAGACGATTTAAATGATTTACTTGCACTACGTTTAGCTCGTATAACAGCCATCAATTCTTTGTCTATTTCCTCATCAGAATTTTCATCACAAGCCGCCTCATCAGGGAACGGCTGTGGTGATGAAAATAAACCACCTTCATGATGTGGTGAAGGTTTTGCAGTCTTCTTTTTTAGGGTCGCAGTATCATCCTCGTTTTCGCTCGTTTCGTCACTATTTTCATCTAAGCTGGCATTATCATCGTCTTCATCAGTTTCCTCGTCGACCTCCTCCTCGTCATCTTCATCATATTCCAATTCATCATCATCTTCATCACTGTCTTGTTCACTTCCCGAAGAATCATCGCCGGGGGATTTTGGTTCTTCTTCTTCTACAAGGGTTCGACGTCGTGCAAGATCATTTAGTACAAATGTTCCACTTGTGCTTCCACAGGATCTTTCAGGCCAATGAGTTGTAACTATTTCCTCAGCATCGCTTCCATCACCCGACTGGTCTTCTGAATGTGCTTCTGTCTCCTCATCAGGCTCAGGTGGAAGTTGTTGCACTAAAACCTTTGTATTTGCGGACGGTATTGAAGAATTGTTAGCTGTATTTACATTACGTGACGTTTTATTTGTCAACAATGGTTCAGATGGATTTCCCTGCCCAGACGATACTTTCACCTTGTTTACTTTTTCTAGCATCGAGGATTTAGTATTCCTAGCTGCTTCTTCCTGTTTATTACCGTCTTTAGAAAAAGAGGAGTTTATAATATAATTCACGAATATCGGTAGACCACGAACCAGCCTCTTATGTGTAGATAGGAAGGCCTCCATTGCCACACTTTCATTAACAAACTTAATGATGGCGAAGCTTCGGAAAAAACAAAAAACAGTGAAAAAATGCAGGTAATAGAGACTAGTCAAGAGTACAACTATGGGTTTCAAATAGTCTAGAGCGTTACTCAGAGGAACGTCAAGTTGAATGTAATACTCTATTGAATACGCAAATATTAGCCCAGTTTTATTCAAATGCCAACATGAACCATCGAAACAAATCATATAGACAAAAGTTCAAGAATCTTGTTTAACTGACTGTTTTCAAAATAGAAATTTGCACATATGCGCAGCAGTTCGAGTTCCCACACTCCATATATCACACAAAGTAAAAGGAAAGAGATAATAAACATAAGTATGAGGGAAAAATATTAATATGGAAGAACGATAGGCTTTTACTGGGTACAACAAAACACAAAGGGAAAATGCATCTGCCACTGAGAACGATTTGGAGTCATGTCACAAATTGTCCCTAGCCAATAGTTCTCACCATCCTGAGGACCCAAACAGGAAGTCTACACCTCCCTACGTAGCTGGCTCAAACTAACTTTTATGGATTGGATTGACTGATAAAGCCATCTTTTAATTCGACCACCACTAATTCTTTATCAACCTGACCTTATCTCAGTCAGCTAACACTGTCCAGTATCGAGGAAGGTGATGGCTAGTGATGCATGAGTAACACATGTGCTAATCAAGTCGAATTAACTTCACACTTTTATAGATTGATTTCTTCTCCTGACCTATCACTTGACGCCTCACCTCAGTGTTATTCACGCTACTATGCAACCCAACACGGAGGTAGAACGCAGACACCTAGGATCAAAGATAACTAGCCATTTTACATGGTCATGTCTCACAGTCATTAAGGAGGGCTGTAGGAACAGCCGAGCAGTAAACATGTACTTTAAACAACAGCCGGATATCACATCTACGTCTTACCTAACTGTATAAACTGTTGGTGTCAACTGTATTGATCACAAAAATAATGTATGCAAAATTCTAATCTTAGTTCTGTTACTAAAGAAAATCAGAAGTACTAACAGTTCCACCGAAAATTCCATATTAATTCACCAGATTTCAAGATTATGAGTTTGTCTAACCCGATCGGATTTTCAGTAATAACTCTACTTAATTATTGTACAAAGACTTCACATCATATGAATAAAAGACTTACATTTTCATCATTATGTTGCATAAGATTCACAGTAAACTAAATCGTTTTTGCACACTTGTCAAACAACCCAAGAACAATAACACTCACCAGGTTTATTGTTCACACGATGAAGTATCAATTAGGGTTTCACTGAAAACAAAGTTATACACTGAAAAGATCAATTGACTAACAGTCTTAGTCGAACTCCGGTTGAGTGCGTACTGACGAAGAGCGACAAAACAAATACGAAATAGCTATCTAGTAATCCCAGGTTTTACAGTGGTTCTTTAACCGATGTCAGCTCATGATGAAATCCTGTAACCAGTCACAAGTAACTTGGAGCTATGAGAAATAGATACGTCCTGTGCTATTATATTCCTCAGAAACCTAGTTGAGAAGTGCCATGTTATGCTAATTAACGATTCTACTTGTAAGAAAAATTTATTGGTAAACTGACAGAAATATACTACCTTAATATTGAATATGAACTAGTTATTGATAAAAAAGAGTATCGAATTATATTAGTATACATACCCACAGGATAATCCATCTTTGGTTAATGGGAAATCAACACTGCCTTTAGGGAATATATGAATTAGTTCACTTTTGGGCACAGATGGACTGAAACCAGTTACAAAAAGTTGATTTCGATCAACGTTTTGTATTGCTAAATCATTACCAAATGGCAAACGATTAGGATGAGCAACTAAAGTCTTGCCGGCGAACAGGCGACCTGAAATTGCTTTCATGGCAGCTTCAGCCGCGTCCATATCAGCATACTGCAAGAATGCATATCTGGATGTTTAAAAAAAACCAATGAGAAAAATTAAAACACCTGTGGTACAAGTTGTTGACAGAAATTAGTTATCCTACTAGGCGAAAAGAATGAAATGCCGCTTACACTTCATATAAATCTATACTGTATATAAAACAAAAATAACGTTATTCTGTCGTTAGACGTTTCTACAACTAGCAAAATAAATCGACATGTTGGATATTAGCTGGTGTATAAGAACATTTCATAGTACACCTAAATCTTGCATATTTCAGATCTTGACTGTTCTGATGCTCAGTATGAATTTCTTAAGTTTGCAGATGATCATTTGTAGTTGAATGAAAATGAATTTCTTATTTCCGGTCGAAAAATCAAATGTTACTCATCAGCCATAAGTTTCGATATTCATCGTATTAGCTCCAACGCAAAGAAGCGTTCCCAGCAGAGCGTCTGGACAGTTAAGCCAAAGCGCCATTTTCTCCATTCAGGTGCCCTTTTAATTTGAATAACATTTGATCAATCGTAGAAGTGATAGTACCAATAAGGAAAACTCCGAATCGGGCATTAATTAACCATTTCACATAATTATCATCCAAGGATTCTTGCATCTGGACAAGTTAAATCTAGTTGACAAACTTATTTGGGTGAAATGACTCTGATTCTATTGATCACTGAGATGTGCATTAGTGAAAGTAGAAGCACGAAACTATATCAAGTAGAGTTATTTCAGGTATGCTGAGTCTTTTATTAAATGTTACCGGCATTCATAGCAACTGGGTGCCAACATAAGACGTTAACGTCAACATTTCCAACAAGCAGTACTATTGCTGCACTGCGTGATTCAAAAGCCTAACAAATCAATTCAAAATGGCATAAAGGCGTGTGTCATCAATTTTACTTGATAACCCGCCATATTCTCACTCCGCCAAAAAGTTAGGTTTTACATAAAACGCAATTCTACAAAATACAATAAAATTAGGCCTTTCGAATCTTCAGCCTATTTCAGTGTCACTGGACAAGTTGAATAAAAATTCTCCAGAGGAAATTCATATTTCAAAACAGTTAACCAAAGGCATTAATGAAAACAAAACACGTAGTTCAGTGAAGAGTCTCTTTGTTTGTTAGCTTGTTTCTTTAACTGTTTATAATTCTTGTATTCATTCGGAACTCTTACGCATTTTCGTATTCTCTACTTTGTTCTTATGTGCATTCTGAGTAAAACTCAATCATCAAACTATTTATATGATTACGTATCTCCTTTTTAACAACTGTTTATGACAACTCATTAACAATCATTAACTTCATTAGCACCCAATTTTCTTGACTATTTTGTGTTACTTAACTCCACCCAAAACTTATTTTCACCTGTTTAGCTAAATTAATCATAACCAATTTTATTTTTGTTTGACAAACTTAATGTACACACACATACAAAATAACTCATTACTAAAGCTAATATAAATCAATGGACTTGTGAGTATTACTGCAGCTCCTCATAAATTTTACTCAACAATGTATGCAAAGCATAAATTTTTCAACTTACCCACGTGGGACCTTTTTCTTAGATTTGACAGATAGTCTGTACGACACCATGGTTGGTGACAGTGACTTTAACATGGCTTCATTAACATTTGTTGGAATAGGACTCACATACACAGTTGCAGATGAAAGTTCGACTTTGAGAAAAATACAATTAAAAATAAGTTTAGAAAATATATAGCTAACTTGAACACAAATTTTTCAGTCTAATAAAATGTTAGGTGATTTAGTGGAACTAAATGGAAGGATCTGAGACCACTTAAATGACTACGTTATCAATTTATTTCCAAGTCAACGTGTACAATTTCGACTTAAATATGACAAAAATATATATAGTAAGTGATATAAGTGGAAACTACTGACCCCAAATACCATTTAAAGAGTAGATATTAAAAACTAATATATTTGTGTTTGTAATCAGCGCAAAATAACAGGTAGTTAATGCAGAGCATTTAAAGCTTTTAGAACCACCGAAAGCAGTCTGTTTCCGACAAAGAACTTCGCACCGATGTGCAGCAGTTCAAGTCACCACACCATGTAGTTCACAAAGCAAGAGAAGAAACTAGAAGAAATGTATAATAGAGACAGTAGACAGGGATAGGAAACAAAGGAATAGTAATAACGAAGAACAATACAGTTTCACTGGAAATTATAAATCACAGGGAGTGAATGCATCTGTGCCAGCTAGTGACAACGATTTTGAGCCATATCACCGATTGTCTCCAGCCATTGGTGTTCACCGTCCCGATGACCCCAACCAGGAAGTCTACACCTTCCTACGTGGCTGCCGCCTTAAACTAACTGTTGTGGATTTCAGTGACTGATGAGGACATGTTCTGGTTTGAACACCTGGCTCTTTTCCAACCTGACCCTATGTCAGCTAACATTGGCCATCGAAAGAGGCGATGGCTAGTGATGCATGCGTAGCACATGTCCTAACCATCTCAGTCGATGTAACTTCACAGACTCGTCGACTGATTTCTCCTCCCTACCTAACACTCGACCGAAACCTAACCTCAATATCGATCACCTTATTATGTGACTTCACACGGGAGATACAACGCAAACACCTATAATCCAAGACACCTAGCCATAAAGGGGGATGGAGCGGACTGTTGAGCGCTACACACGTCATTTGGTCGATAGCCAGATATCACGTCTACGCCAAAGACAGCGTAAACTGGCATATGCCAAAACAAGCCTTTTGTATCCGTGCTGAGATTTCGTCAGCGATCAACCCATTGGGGCTGGCTGATGCAACTTCCCAAATAAGTGAAGCGGTCAACACGATCTGCCACCTCACTTCCTATTTCTAAGCTAGGAGTCAGTGTATTTCAGTCCAGTAACATCATCTTACATTTAGCGGGAGCGAATCGCATGCCAAACATTCGTAGATTGTAGCTCAAAGTGTTCAGAAGACTCCGCATTTTGTCAGCGTCCTCGCATAGAAGGACTATATCATTTGCATATTCTAAGTCAACGAGATTATTCCCTGACAGTAACAAGTCAATCCCTGAGTATCTGAAGTGAGTTAGGGTTAATTCCATTAGTACATCTATGATGAAATTGAGTAGAAATGGGGATAGTGGGCATCCCTGACGGACACCACTAGTAGTCACCACTTCAGATGACAACTCGTCGTAAGCTCTCACCTGGCTGACTACATCAGTTTGAATATAGTGCCTTGATCAGTGAAATGTATTCTCTTGGCATTACTTTTACAGACAAACATCGCCATAGTGCCTCTCGGTCGACAGAATCGAATTCCGCCTTTAGGTCAAGAAATATGACGACTGTTGGACTCCGGTGAGTATGCCTATTTTACAGAATCTGTCGGAGAGTGAATATATGATCAATACACTCTCTTCCTGGTCTAAAACCTGCCTGGCTTTCTCGTGTTTGTTCCTCTCGTGAACCGCTTAGTCTACGCATTATTTAGCCCAGAACTTCACATACCATGTTGGTCAAGCTAATCAACCTGTAGTTATCACAGGAAGACTTGTCTCCCTTCTTGTATATGGGGATAATCAGTGACTTACATCAACCCGACGGGACTTCCCCTGATTCCCAGACGCTGCCTAGTACCTTAGTTAACGCAGAGAGTGAACTGTATCCACCGTCGGTGAACACCTCTGGAGTCATTTCACCAGATCCGCTGCGTTGCCTCGTTTCAGACTAGTGACAACCTTAGTAACCTAAGTTAGGGACGGAGGACCTGTCTATATCCTATTCAGAGATGTGCTGCATGAAGGGTAAGTTTAGTGTGGCTGTAGGCCAAATAAACTGCTCCTCAAAGTGTTCTTTTCAGCGTCCCAGTCGACTATTCTGGGAGCTAATTATCGTGCCATTTTTGTCCGAGGTTGTTTCACTTGTCGTTTGCATTTAAACACCTGTTTCCCTGATAAACCTAAGTAGTTGTCTGATGTTACCAGTCGCCGATGCCTTTTCATTTCTTTCGCTTTTGTCGCCAACCACTGTTCACGCTCGTTACGAAGGCTTATTGTTAGTTTGCATTTAAGATCGCTGGAATCAGTCTTTTTGCGTCAATCAGTTCGGATGAAGTGGCAGAAATCCAATAGCACTTACTAGCTTTAGGTTTCAAGTTATTAACAACTGTCTACAGCTAACTGTATGTTGTGCCAGGCTTCCTCAGGGAAAGAAATGCTGTCAACCTCAGATACTAGTTGCACTATTTCTTCCTCGAATAGGGACTCAGTGTTTTGATCTAGTTGGGGGTGGAACTGCTTCGCTACCAACAGTTTCTTATGTCCGTCCAATGCTACGTGAACGAGGCAGCGATCGGAGTCTACGCATGTATTCCAAAAGAAGCATCTGTCTTCTATCGACCCTCGCCAACGATATCCTATCGCTATGTGGTCTATCTGAGTCCAGCGTTGATTTGGTGATGGAGCTCACCAGGTTACGCAATCCCTCTCTCTCTCCTTGTGTCTAAAGTTAGTGCTGACTGGAGACAAATGATTATCTCAACAGATCTGTAAGAGGCGATCACCGTTGTCAGTTCGTCGTCAGCGAACTCCATAGGTACCACATACATATTTCTCAGCCTGGCACAACTTCCTTACTTGGCCACTGAAGTTGCCTGCTAAAACAACTATATCTGAATGTTTTGCTTTTTGCAGCAGATTAGACAGTTTCTGGTAGAAGTCATCTTTTAGTCCATCCGAAATACAGTCTTTTGGGGTGTAAGAGGAGACTACGAAAAAACAACGACTGGTAACGCCGTCCTTCCTTCTTCTAACGGGCCCGTTTAGACGGACCGCACACACGTACGATATTCCTGCCCTATCACTCAATGCTATCTCTACACCTGCGAGTCCTCGCGAACTAGCTGAGGGGTCTCCTGACATCCTTAAAGTCAATTTCGCAGATTCACCTTCTTGGCCGGCTGAGGTTAAGTGAATGAATACACTTGGGTCTTGTATGCGTGTCTCCGAAACACAACATACAATCATGGCTCAAGATGCTAGAGTTCTTGCTAGTGATGCCTGTTGTCCGATTTGGCAGAGGGTCCTGACGTTAAATACCCCTGTATGAAGTTGGCGTCGTGGCTTTAGGAGGCTGTCGGGGGTGTTTCTATGGCTCTCATCGTTGTTTGTGGTCAGAGAGTGAAGTGAAGATGACTCACTAGTCTGAAGAATAGTACTGACTGTAGTGGGAGGGCGGAAAGGTGATGAAGGTGATGTGGGTAAGGGAGAATGATGTCTGGGGAGGCTTCGTGTACTCTGGAAAGTTTTTCATGTGGTTTTGTTCTCTGAGCTGGGTGGTTAATTTGCCAAGCTTTCATTACCCTACTAGGTGACATCTTCAGCGCATACTTTACCCACCTGAGCTACAAATCTTCTCTATCATATCTAACTCTGGGAAGTGTGTGACATTGGTTGTTACTTCCCGGCTGCCCACATCGCGCAAGTTGACTGATTCTTTGGGTACCTCAAAGAGAAAGAGGATTAGTGTTACGTGACCGCAAAGTCCAGGGGACAACTGCTTGAGACCAGTCACACACGGCCTGTATGAACGGGTTTCTTGGTTTGGTTCTGTATCACTAAGCTTACCGCCGTTTACGGACCACTGCAGGGTAAGTCAGGATGTACAATTATTGCTGTCGACCTTTCCGAACCCTCTTTATCCCTCCTGAGTGAGGAGATAGCATAGCTGGCATGCCGGTCATCTGAGGGAAACACCTCACTGCTGTCACATCCCTGTTCCCCAGCAGTACGACTTTGCCCACAGACCCCCAGCATAGTGAAAAAAAATTCTTACATGAAGCTGGTAACTGCTTTTAGTCTAATCGCTACCCTAACAAAATTCCTGGCATGGCAGGACCTGTAGGAACAATGGTCTAGCCAGTGTAGCTTGTTGGGTCATTGCGACGTGCAAGCCCGACCACCACGTCAAGATAGCAGCTATCGGTGAGGACCAACAGCAGTGATGGGGAAGGCGGAAGGAACCGGAAAAGACACCAGCAGTAGATGATACGTGCCAAACATTCAGGTTTAACAAGGAAACTAGTTGTGAAAACATTCTATGGTGTGATGAAAAAGGGTGATATTTTTGAAAAATACGGCTACCATCCTGTATGAAACATTTAGAGGAGACGTTCAAGTGATCTGCAGGTTCACTCCAATCAGCCACCAAGCAGTCCCTGTATGAATGGGATGTCGACATTAAATTTTCATCTACCAATTATCTAAGATGTTGCGAAACGGTGTGACCTGAGGATATCACGCCTGGTTTTAAGGGATAGTGTCAATAAATGATAGTTCCAACAGTTTTATACTTATATCAATAGTTTCAACAGACTAATGTATATTGCTGATCATCACTGTTCAGAAGAAAGAAAACGAATATTCAAGTGATAATCACAGGGGTGGTCAACTTGTCCGATATAGTATCTTCGGTGCCTTCTTGAAGTGTAATAGCTTCGCCTGGTGTACTTGCTAGTAAAGTGCTACTTTGACTAGTCGGTCACTTTATCGGCTGCTTCCAAACGACATCGGTGAATTAGAATGCGTTAAGGATTGTGTAGGCTTTTTTGATTCAATAAGTGCGTTACCTCATAAATTCGGATACCATTAAGCGTAAAACATTAGAGTACGTTAGGAAAAACCGCATTTAATATTTATATATGGCACAGATTTAATCGACCAGTCAAGTGAAAATAAAAACAAAAGGCATTACATATACATAATGAATAAACCTACTTGCACGTTTCTTAATTTCTTCTAGCATCAAAGACGCATTTGTCCAACCGACAGGAGGCAATTTTCTATCGATACTACTATCATTTTTTCCCGAAGTATCCTATACATGCATGAAATATAGTTTTAAAGCATGTTATGGAGACAGCTACAAATTTCAGATAAAGTGTAGAATACACAGAAATGGAAATACAATCAACCACACATACATAAATACACATATACCTTTATTTTTCAGTAATTTGTGAACACAAATTCATTTAATTCGAAGAATTCCACCACCAATGAGAGTAAAAATGAATGATTTTCACAAGTTCATTTCAAATTACAGTAGGGAAGCAATAACATCGGCTGCAATGATGAATGATATACACTATATTCTGGGCATTATTCAAGTCATCCGGCAGAATATAAAAACTATGAAACAACATCTCAAAATGACACAAATCGCAATTAGCCACGGAGGAAAGGAATATTTCTTTTGATGACCGTGATTGTCTACGACAATTCGAAGAACTATTCTACCAAGAATATTCATGCTTCAATATCTTGACCCAAATCTATCGGTCAAGCAGGATGATATAATACTGGGTCAGACTATATTACTGTAATAGACGTTAGTGCTCACTGGATAAGAAGTCTGGGATTAACGCTGCTTGTATGTGTTAGCATATATTAGCAGAATTCGAAAGGTGAGCACCCAAAGAATTGCATACATTTTTCATTGTGAGTCGGAATTATTTAATTAATTAATCAATCGATCTAAATGACTCAGTATGGTCCAGATAAAATGTTGCCCACCTAATGTATTAGTGTCATTATTCATCTTGGAATTGCATAACTTATTATCAGCTAAACTCCATCCACACCGTCATCACTCAGAATGTGTAAAATGACAAATACACATAATGTTGACGTTAAACCGTCAACATATTTTTACTAAAGCCAAACAAAAATTGAGTCAGTTTTCCTAACATGCCTGTTTGCGTCACTTTTCAATTCTTAAGTACTATTTTTAACAAAGAAATTGACGCTTTAGTGATAACATGTATGACACGTTAGGTGTTGTAATATCTTACACTATGAATGTCAAAACACTAAAAATTCACAACATCAACTGGATTACCTCACACTCGTCTGAAGACTTCATCTTCTTTGGTTGTGGACCCGCGTCTTTCGTCGATTCTGGAAAGTCAATGTATACACCGCTGTTTAGTTAGTTAACCTAACACATAAAATATCTGCTAGAAAATGCAATACATATTGTCCTACAGATAAGAAAGACAGGAATTGAGATCAAAATTTAGCTAGAATCAGTTAAAACCCTTGATTTTAAACGCGAAATAGTCATACCCAACGCACATATATGAGCCGAAAATATTCACTGATGGTGATGGATTCAGCTACTTATCATCTTTCAGTCAGTATCCATTATGAGAAAAGTGGTTACAAGCCATCTTATGTGAGCAGCAAAATATTTACTATCGAATATAAAGTCGGTTTAACAAAACATAAATTTGCATCATTTAAGATGCATAACCAAGAGAGCTAATTCTTGAATAATTCACAGAGATAAACCATGATTTCAGTAACCATCATACATATTAAAGCCAAATAACATTGTTTTTCCATAACTATCTCTTTAAGTTTGTTATTACTTTTCAACTTAATACCTTCTACCGCCTTTCACCTCTTTCCCTTTCTTCTCCTTCTACATTATTACTCTGAATAGGTTAATATTTCACAGAATACACTTCAGCAGGTCTTAATTAGTGTTCTGTCGAGTATAAACAAGATTTCAGCTTTTGAAAATGATTAGTCGAAAAAGTATTCTACCTCACTACGTCTTCCTCCTTTGAATAAATACAGAAATTCTTTGTTCACTGGGAGAATACTGTCTACACCTTTACGGTTTGAGTCTGTCACACCTCATACCGCCAAAAGCGCCTCAAGAATATCGAAAGTGAGAAAGTCTAACAACTTCTAGTCCCAGTAACAGTTTGGAACAACAGATTTGTAGTTGTATGTGAACATTTTGCCCGAATTGCTTTGGAATAAATCTAGACAGATACCGAAAAACATATGGAATGATTAACAAGTACTGCTGAATTCAGACGCAGCTGTCAAGTCAACACTTACGACTCTGATGTAGACATTCTATGCTTCTCATTGTATTCCTTACCAACCTAGAGAAGCTATAGTAAGTAAGCCAGCTCCAAGGATTGCGACCCCACTCATCATCTACATGATGTCTGGTATGTGCTGATATTCGCGTGCGCCTCTTGGCAGATGGACCAACTTAAAATACAATTCTCTTCCAAATTTTTTTAGAATTAAATCAAGTCAGTTTCTTAGGGGCGGTAACCATGAAAACCATCAACAAACTTAGCAGTATATGGTACAATCAGACGGCCAAAATCTCCTTTGTTTCATGACACTATTTCTGATTGATTGCCATGCGGTCTTTGTGTAAGAGGCAGTACACCAAACAGGATAACGGTGAGGACTACCGAAAGACGATCCTCATTATCTAACCTTTCATAAAATCGGAAAGCTATTCTCTAAGTTTAGATGTCCGACCTGTAAATCCGAATCTGCAATCAGCATCCCAATGTCGGAATATTCATTCCGAGTTTCATGCGTTGGTGTTGACAAAAAGCCAAAAACTTTTCTTTCACTTCCAGTTACTTTTCACTTTATTCAACACCACATGGTAGCAGTAAAAACTGCTGACCCATGTGGACTATGCAGAAGGAAGGTTGAGAAAATAGCCTTGGTAGGTGGTCGGCTACAGATCACCCTCGTGAAATCAACTACTTACCGTCCTAGGCTAGGAAAGATGGTTCAGAATTTCGAGCAACGACGAGCAGATGAGTAAGGTGATAGTAGTAAAATATAACACATATAACTCAGGAAAATACGACGCCATGATGGTTATAATTCAAGTAGTTGAGCAAAGGGTTGGAGATGGGGGATTCTTGGTTGACAGCTAACCTTAGTAATACGGCTAACAAAGGAATCAATCTCAAAGGTGGAGATGTGGCTCACTGGCATAAGCCCACAAATTTCAGATATTGGGTTGCAGGATCAAATCGTGTTTCATCTACTTCTACCCTCACAGAATAAGCATGTCGCATGTCTCGTATATCACCATCAACGGGAGAGATTTAACAAAGGTCACTTCCTTCACTTATCTGGGAAGCATCGTATTAACCACAGGCGGAACGGATGAAGATATCAAAATCAGAACAGAAAAGGCAGGATACGTTTTCATCAACCTGAAACCACTTTGAAAATTTTCTGCACTCAGCCAGAATAAGGAACAAGATTCGGATTTTCAACACCAATGTCAAGAGTCGGTCTTTCTATATGGATCAGCCACTTGGCGTGTCAATCAAAGGATTCCCAGCAGGTTGCAGACTTTTATCAACAGCTGCCTTCGCCGGCTCCATACTGAAGATCAAATGGCTGGCCAGAAGGAATTAGTAACAAGAAACTCTGGCTGGAAAGAAACCAACCAACAGCCAATCGCTCAACAAATATATATGAGGAAATGCAGATGGATTGGGCACACGTTGAGGAGACCGTCGCATGACATCACGCGCCAGCCACTTGAGTGGAATTCAGATGGGAAGCGATGAATGGGTCATCCTAGAGTAACACGGAGGAGATCGTGTGAAGAGGAGATGAGAGACTATGGGCAGTCATCGACCCGGATGAACAGGACGGCGGAAAATAGAAGATAGCAGAGATGTGTGGTTGAAGCCCAAGGGATTAATAATAACATAATGTCTCGTATATGATGAATCTGTTTCGGACCACAGATTTCCCTGCCTTTATTAAGTGTAGCGACTGGAACTCCTGCACATCCCCATAAGTTTTATGTTTTGAATGTTTCACCATTGATTTAGGTGGAATCATACTACTATAATGCTGGAACAGTTCAAGGAGAGTTTATTGAGTCCTCTTTGATATGATACAGCTATGAGGAGTCAGGTATTCTAATGACAGTTAACAAAAGTTAAACTTACTGGAATGTACTGCTACTGCATTTGAAACTTTTTCCTTGGGACACCCGCTTATCCGTTTCATCTGTTTCTTATTGGAATTCAACAAAGCATCCAAGTCTTCTTCACCTAACTCTTCGTCTTCATCCTCTTCAGATTCTTCGAGGTCATTGTCCGAAGACTCTAAACAACTCAGGCCCGCGTAAGCTGTGATCATTGAAATACTTGAGCAATTGTGCTCCTCGTCGTTATCTGTTTGGTCGTCTGCATCCCAGTCCGCATCGATTTGTTCAAAATCACTTTCACTCGAGGCTTCTTCAACCTCGTCTTTATTTTTAATGCTGGGGGTGTGACGAACTTTCGGTTTCTTTGTCACAAGTTGATGCTCAGCCTTATCAACGACGCGAGCATTTTTATTTTTCCGGATAGGTGAAATATCGGATGGGACGAAACTCGTCTTTTTGAGTTTTTTTTCCAGTTTCTTAGCTTTACTTCGCTTTAGTTTCTTGCTTTCAGATTTCGAAGACGTCTTTTTTTCTTTTTTTATCATAAGTCTGCCCTGAAAGTATGACAAAATACTCGTAATATTCACATAAACCACATAGCTGACAGCAAAAGTCTATTAAACAGAACAGATTAGAAAAACAAGGGGATTCGTTACACCCAACATAGCTTCAATACAAGCATACATCCTCCAAGATTGGACAATTCACACACTTGTGTAATGCTAAATGCATTCACGATTTGATTACGTTGTAGGTTTGAGTTTAAATTTTGAAAGCAGTATATTATATATATATATATATACATATGATTTTTACAAGTTTCAGAAAATTTGCATATTTAAATGTTGGCACATGCAACACCTTTTGGAAATGAATAGGTGAGAAAGGAGAAGCGATGGTTCACATTTGGAAGACAATTATGGGAAATTGAGGTGAAGAGAAGTTATCACGCGAAACAGCTCTTGGTTTTGTTTTGTGTGAGGTTTGTTTCCATGGAAGGACGCAGCGGATAACAAGGCTGATGAAACAAAATGTTCATGCTGCGAATTATCACATAAGATTCAGGTTAAACCACAGAATGGCCTATCTATATGTACGACTGTACTTCAGTTCACCCTACACCCAAACTATTCGTAAAGACTTGTTATCCTGTAAGTTTAGCGTATACGCATATTCGTGCGATTTTCAGTGAATTCATCAATCACACCGTAAGCAAACACTCGAATTATTTCGGAGGGAGTTATTCAAATCCATAACAGAAGAAAAATTTTAATTAGTTACACCATCTGTGACACCATATGATATCAAGTCATTCGCCGGGTTAACTCCACATAAAATACAAAATCACCCGCCGAGTCTAGTCTTAATTCTCTTCGCAAAATTCGCATCATTTTTCTGTTTTGTGAGCATACGGTGAAAGGCCGAACTTCTAAAATGTGAGCGCAGTTATGATATGGAGCACAAACCTATTGTAAACCTGCGTGGCCACAAATTTTGACCGCTGAGTCCCAATTATTTTGGTACAAATACAAATGTCGGACAAATAAAACTCGAAAACAATCTCAAGTCCTGATTTAAGAATCGAAACATAGGTAGGGCAACACCTATTGTTTATCTGTGGGACTCCCGTTGTGTGAAATTTTTCGCATACCGTTTTCATCATACGTCAGTCAAATCGTCACCGACTGAAAGTCAGCTTCTCGAGGCATTGTTATTCGCCACACACTATGATACAGCCAGACATACAGTTAAATCCGGTGACTCTGAACTACAACATCCCAAAACTAAACTACTTAATTAAGACCCTGACAGATAACTATAGTACGATTGAACACGTCTAAAGCAGGAAAGCATAATCTGAAGACGGACATAAAATAGTAATACAACAGCATGAAGTTACGTAGAATAATTTCCTCGCATATTTTCCAGGAATAGCTTCCAATTTCTCATTGGAGTCTTCGTTGTCAGGCTTGACCAATTTCTATACATAAATTCATTACGGTCATCACTCCGTTCATTAGTTTTGGGGGTGACTAAAGAATAGCGGTCCAAACCGAGACGACCTTCGAACAAAAAAGTGACCTTGAGCAAGGAATCAGCTGACTCATTTTCGGAAGTAATCATGTATGTTTTCGATTACTGTTTGGATAACGGACTCATAGCTTTGTCGAAAATTTGCCAGTGCGGAGGAGTTATGCATATACAAATATAAGCAGCGGCCACTGATGGCTTTGTATACAGATGTATTGAGTGCCGAAGAAGGAAATCGGTTCGAGATGGTTTGTCGTTGTTTTTTAGTTTACAGATCCCTTAGGAACTTTTCTCTCAAGGTCTAAACTACCTTTGGCGAAAATTTTAATGATCTGTAACTTCTGGGTCCTGAAAAGAGCAGTCACAGCTACAGCTTATGAAACAGAAAATTCAGAGGTGTCAGCAGTGCAATGGTACAACTACTGCAGAGATGTTTCCTCCTGGAAAATGAACACCCTGACTCAAGTTCTCGGGGGAGTCGGCAGCATAGTCCATATTCATGAGACTGTACTTATAAAAAGGAAATACAACCGCGGGAGATTACAAGCACACCAGCAGTGGATACTGGGTATCTACGACACGACACCGCGCAAAGGGTATATGGAAGCGATTCCCAATCGCAGTGCAGCAGTATTAGTGCTTATTGATAAGCGTTTGGTGTTGCCGGGGACGACCATTCATACGGATGAATGGAGCGGATACCGTCAATTATCGAATCTTGGGTACATTCATCATGTTGTTAATCATACGGACGGTTTCCGGAATCCTTTGGATGGAACCCACACCAGTTCTAGTGAAAGATTTTGGAGTCGTCTAGAAAGACGTATAAGAGCGGTTAATGGATCGAGAAATCCCACGATTCACAGTTACCTGGATGAATTTATGTACCGAAACTGGTTTCATATGACTATGAAGACTCCCATGAGAAACTGGGAGTTTTTGCAACATATACGCGAACGCCATTCTTTGTAACTGTTTATTACGATTGCATTACTTCTATATAAACCGTTTTTTACAATTATGCGCCTTTCTTTTTGAGCCTTCTCATTGGCCGAAGTTTCCCTGTCAAGGTCATTTTTGCGATAAAAGGTCGTTTCGGTTTGGGCCGCTATTCTTAAGTCACCGTTTTGGGTTGCTATAGTTTAGAGTCACCTAAAATCTTAAGTACAAACACCACTGGAGGAGATGAGGGAAACTAAACCTTACTCCGCTCAACTTACCATGACCATGTGAGAAATCAAATGCGCCCCACCTGATTGATTCAGATTCAGATTCAGATTCAGATGATAAGGATAGAAGGCTCTTGTGGCCTGTGTTAATCCTTGCAAAGTATATCTCTGCAGAGATCTAACTTCTCTTTGAAAGCGTTCACCGATGGAGCTGATACTACTGAATCAGGTAAGGAGTTCCAATCGTTGACCACTCTGTGAGAGAATCTAAATTCTGCACGTATTTTAATCGTCCTTGGTTTGAGCACCTTTTTGCGGTGACCCCGTAAATGTATCCTAGAAGGGGAGAAAAGGTTAGAAAGGTCAGTTCCTAAATCACCCTTAAGTATACGGTATGCCAAAATTAAGTCGCCTCTCTTCCTTCGGTATGATAACGGGAAGAGATTTAAATGCTCCATCCTCTTATCATAAGGAAGGTGTGAGATACCACTAACTAATTTTGTTCCTACTCTCTGTACTCTTTCCAGAATATGTGCCTCCTTTTTGAAGCATGGACTCGTCGCTTGTATGCAGTATTCTAGATGAGGCCTGACATATGTTGCGTAGAGTATTTGGAACATGCCCTCGTCTAATCGTTTGAAAGCCCTTCGAATTGCCCATAGCATTCGAAAAGCTTTAGCTGCGGCTGCATTGCAATTTGCAGTTGTTTTCAAATCGTTACTGACAATGATTCCTAGGTCCTTCTGTTCTTTGACATCAGGTAGTTCTGCATCCCCTAGGGAGTACGACGTATAAGACTTCTGACCTAAGTGCATTACCGCGCTTTTCCTAGCATTCATTTCCAAACTCCATAGGCTTGACCACTCAGCTAATTTATCTAAGTCATTTTGTAGGGCCAACCTATCCTCGTTATTGTTTACAGTTTTCCATACCTTAATGTCATCTGCAAATAATAATGAAGATGAAGAAAGAATCCCTGGTAATTCGTTAACGTATAATAGGAATAGCAAAGGACCTAATACAGTTCCCTGGGGCACTCCACTGGATACTGCTTTCCATCCTGATAGTACACCATTAACTCTAACCTTCTGCCTTCTATCCATTAAGTAATCTCTAAACCACTCACATAGGCATTGGTCTAGTCCGAAACCTTTCAGTTTACTAAGGAGACCTAAGTGGGATACTTTGTCGAACGCCTTGCTAAGATCAATAAAAACCACGTCCAACAGATGGTCCCTATCTCTGGCCTCAACCCAGTCTTCCCTAGCCAATAGTAGGTTTGTCAAGCAGGATCGTCCTGGTCGGAATCCATGCTGTTCCACAGCCAACAAGCCATGTGTTTCAACATAAGCTAATAGTTGATCCCTTATAATAGTTTCCAGTACCTTTGCAATAATGCATGTCAGACTTACCGGCCTGTAGTTAGATACCAATTGCCTATCCCCGTCCTTGAAGATAGGGCTTATAATGGCATCCTTCCAGTCCCTGGGTAGCTTAGCCTGCGTCAGAGACATTTGGAAAATCTCCGTAAGCGGAATATATATTATATCCGCCAAGGAAAGTAACAACTTAGGGTGGAGTCCATCCGGCCCAGGTGATTTACCTGGCTTCAGTTTAGACAGTAGTTTCAGAACCTTTGTGTGCTCTACCACAATTGAGGGCATCTGAGTGGCGATGGCAGTGACCTCGCCATATCCCTGGGTGGTACTATCAGACGAGAAGACGTCACAGAAGTATTCAGAGAGGTTTTCAGCCTTCCCTTCGTCTGACTCAGCCGCTTCTCCACTAATGGTTATGAGTGACGGTATACCACTGCTAGTTTTAGTCCTACGTTTAATATACGAGTAAAACCTTTTTGGGTAATGAACGCAATCTAGTACTAATCGTCTCTCGTACTCTATACGACTCTTGTTAATCGCATACTTACAGAGGTTTCGAATTTTGCGGTAGTCTTTCTGGAAGTTTTCCCTTCCTGTCATAACAAATTGGTCCCATAAGTTCTTTCGCCGTCTTAATAACCTCCTTATTTCACTAGTGATCCAAGGAGGTTCATGCGACGGCTTTCGAGGAGTGTACCAAGGTATAAAAGGTGAAGTGACACGATCTAGTGTATTCCTAAATCCTACCCAAGCTTCCTCGACAGTCTGACTTGTATCAACTGACCAGTCAACCACAGTTGCTGCGTTCCGGATTCCTTGTATATCCGCTTTCCAAATGTTTGGACGAGCAGATTTTGGCCTGTGCATGAGAGAATGAATCCTAAACGTAAAAGCAATGACTATGTGGTCACTGCTGCCAAGCGGCGGGAGGCACCTAATGTTACCAACGTCCTCCTTCTGGTGTGTCAATACCAAGTCTAGAGTAGATGGATCATGTTCAGGGTGATACCGTGTTGGTGCATGCATATGTTGCACGAGTGCACATTCAAGCACTGTCAATGTGAGCTCCCTATTGAAACAGGTATACAAACTAGTGGAGTTTAATTCCCCCCAATTAATATGTGGAGCGTTAAAGTCGCCAACAATCAGACACCTATTTCTACTACCCCACGCCCTCAAGTGATTTAGAACGAAGTCATCAGCTTGGCTAGCAGGACTTCTGTAGATAACTCCGATCGTTAAAGTGCCTTTGTTTAAGTTAATGATGCAACTTGCGGCTTCACTGGTGCCGCTGTCATGAGCTTCTGACAACGTTGACCTGATCCCTATGTCATCCCGGATGTAAAGAGCAACCCCCCCACCTTTCCGACTACTTACTCTGTCTGCTCGTATGCAGATATACCCAGGTATGAGTGGAGTTAAGTCTACACCCACTAACAACCACGTCTCAGTGATAGCAATTACATCAGGTTGTAGTCTTTCAGATAACTCTCCTAATTCGGCGAGCTTATTCCTAAGACTACATGCGTTCGTATAGCACACCGAAACACCTACGTGTTCACCCGGCTTATGAAGAGAGGTCTCGGCAGCATCGGTTTCCGAGACCTCACCACCCGAAAACCCAATAGTTTGAGGTCCTTCTCGCCTTTCTCTAGCCTGGCCTTTAGTTCAGCCACGGCTTCTCTTCTTTTGATTCTATCTTCCAAAGGCCAATCAGGCCTTATTTTTAGACTTTTGTCGTTGACTTTGAACGCGTTGTCGAGGATGGTCCTCCTCTCTGTTTCGTTCCCTAAAACTACCTTAAGTAGTCGTCGAGGAGTTCCTGTAGCATCAGGGTTTCGTTTTCCGATCCTGATAGCCTTTCGTACGTGTACTCCAGTTGTTTTTTCGGGAAGTATTTCCCGGAATATGGAGCTGATCGCCTTCAGATCATCTGCATGTCGGGCAGCTGGATCTGTGTTCTTAGATTCCTCCAAGTTCCAGATGATTATACTGTAACTAGAGTCCGTGGGTTTCTGAGTTTTGCTGGAACTAACAGTCGTCGAGACCTTGTTGGTAAACTCGGCTACTGTTTCTTTCCTAGTTTTGTTTAGCTTCTTACCTTTCGGCAGCAACCAAGTGGAGTCCGTTTCTCCCACTCTGTTTTCGCCGCGACTAGAAGCCATTCGTGCACTAGACACGCTGCGCTTTGGCGTTGCTATTTCACAGGCTGGTTTTGCCATGCTGGCACTACTTGCCCTTCTGGATTTCCGTTGCCTTTTGCGCTTTGCAGCAACAGATGTCTGGGCATTTTGTGCTTCTTTCGCTTCTGAGACTTCAGGAGGTGATGCACCCTGAATCTTACAACTATGTCCTGAACCGCCATCCTTGGCGAAGGTTTCTGGTACAGGCTTTTCAACTATGTCTTTCGACAATTTCTTGGACATCAAGAGTCCTACTGCCTCTTGGATGAGGACATCTAACGGGTTGCTGCAAAATTTGCACAGCCATGG